ATGATAGCAGCACGCACACACACACGCACGCACACACACACACACACACACACAGACACACACACACACGCACGCACGCACGCACGCGCGCACGCACGCACGCACGCACGCACGCACGCACTCACACACACACACACACACACACACACACACACACACACACACACACACACGCACGCACGCACGCACGCACGCACGCACGCACGCACGCACGTGATGAAGACACCAGCATCGGGGGCGGGAGATATGGGGAGATACGGGGAGATATGGGGAGATCTCCCGCTTCTAGGCGTGCGGCAGCACCTCCGCCGCGTGGTCGTCCCGCTTGACGTAGCGGACGACCTGGAGGAAACAAGTCGCAGCTAGATCTCGGCTGGATCTCGGCTGGATCTCGGCTGGATCTCGGCTGGATCTCGGCTGGATCTCGGCTGGATCTCGGCTGGATCTCGGCTGGATCTCGGCTCGATCTCGGCTGGATCTCGGCTCGATCTCGGCTCGATCTCGGCTGGATCTCGGCTGGATCTCGGCTGGATCTCGGCTCGATCTCGGCTCGATCTCGGCTGGATCTCGGCTCGATCTCACCTTGAGCCGGACCGGCGTCGCCTTGCCGGGAGGCAGGAGCGGTTAGTACCACCACCACCATCATCACCGTCTCAGTCTTATCGTCATCAGTCTCATTGTCATCTCATCAGCAGCAGCAACACCAGCGCCATCGCCCTTCTCACCCTTCTCACCATCCCACCACTAGAGACCGTCGCCTTGGCCGGGGGAAGCAGCGGGCCCAGCTCCCCCTCCATGCCCGCGTCCTTGCCGTTGACCTCGACGATGACGTCGCCCACCGCGAGGGAGCCTGCTGAGGAGGAGTGTGTACAGTGAGTGACTCTGCCTGACGGATGACCCACACCCACACCCCACCGCGAGGCTGCCTAGTCTCGAACACTGTTCCATAGCCAACAGGTGTCTGACGATGCCGCGACCCCCGGCCGCGCGCGAGGCTGCCCTCGAGGTGCGCGGCTCCGCCCTCGTGCACCTGTCTCAGACACGGTCCGACGACATGTCTCAGACACGGTCCGAGGACATGTCCGAGACATGTCCGAGAGAGGTCCGAGGTCATGGTGTACAGAGGTGTATAGCCGAATCCAGGTCCAGCCGAGATCCAGCCGAGATCCAGCTGAGATCCAGCCGAGATCCAGCCGAGATCCAGCGGAGATCCAGCCGAGATCGAGCCGAGATCGAGCCGAGATCGAGCCGAGATCGAGCCGAGATCGAGCCGAGATTGCACCGCGGTGATGAGCAGCCCGCTGACAGCGACGCCGAGAGGCCCGTCCTGCAAAGAGGCAAGGGGGGTGAGAATCAGAAGAAGAAGAGGAGGGGTGAGACGAATCGTCGGAGGAACAATCGTCACTAGTAATGATGCCGAGAATGCTCTCGGCTGTCTCTCGTCGGCATCTCGTCGACATCTGGTCTGCATCTCGCCGACATCTCTTCTGCATCTCGCCTCCCGCGAGAGCGTCGCCGTCACGCTCTTCTTCAGCAGCTCCTCCTCCCCCTCGGCAGCCCGCAGCGCCTAGACACCTCCTAGACACCTCCCAGCCACTTCCTGGACCCGTCCTCCCCCTCGGCAGCCCGCATCGCCGCCGCCGAAAAGTCCTCGTTCACGCCGCCACGCGACCTGCGGTGCAACGCCCTCTCCTCCCTTACCCTCATCGCCACTCCCTCTTCTTCCGCCGTCCCCCGCCAAGCCGCCGCGCCGCTTCTGCTTGATCGCCGAGCGAGCCTGAGAAGAAAGAAAAGAGAGCGGGCCGCCGTCACAGGACACGGGACAGCTGCATCTCAGCTGCACCTCAGCTGCATCTCGGCTGCCTCTCGGCTGCACCTCGGCTGCCCCTCGGCTGCCCCTCGGCTGCCCCTCGGCTGCCC